TAAATTGCCCTGACAGGGTGGGCTCGAACAGTTTCTCCCCGTACCTGTATCTTGAATGGACAGGGTGGGTTCGAACGGTTTGCCTCACTTGTACCTTCCATGGACAGGGTTTGACCCGAATAGCTTTCCTGCATTTTAGATGAAATAGGATTTGCTTAAGTTCATACTGCGATTTGAACCTGGGACGTTGGCTGTTCGGCTTTTCGTTTTTCTACAAGTTAGTGCTGGTTTGTTTCAGACTTAACCAGGGTGGGAACAGGTCCCCCGGGCCTTGAGTAAATATAGGTTTTGTTTGTCTTTCATGCTGGGTTTTACGCCAGTGATGTTTCGGTTTTTTTGTTTCGGATTGCTAGCAGTGCTAATTTTTTGGTATCTGGACGGGCACCGTCACTGGGGTGTGGTCCAKGGGCACATTTGTTTCTTCAGGTAGGTATATTAGGATTGAAGGCAGAGTTTACAACTCCTCAGGCTGACGTTCGCTAGGACGTTTGTATGTCGGAGTACTAGTGTCCAACGAGGACGGAAGAGGGTTGGTGGATAGTGACGACTAGTGCATGGTTAGACGGTGGATCCCCCTGATGAGGCGACGGCGGTCGCCGAAACGCGTCAAGCACGCTTCCTGCTTGAAATTTTTCGTATCTTGTGACACGAGTTAATACTTTGTTTGTTGTGTTACGTCTTTTTGATGTAATATGACTGTGAGTTTCTTCAACTATGAAGTTTCTTTGTCATCTTGTCAATATCAGCTATCAGCATTACATCAAAATTTCTTTCCGAAATTTGAAATAAAAATGAATGATGAAAAACAAATACTAATAATAAAAATAACAAAAAATAAAAAAGAATTAAATTTACTGAGTTCGCGAGCGTGTTTTCGACACTGCCATCTTTGGCGATTTTTCATTTTGTTTTGGAATAGCTTAATGCCCTGAAATTTTAGATATGTGTACTCCACATAGTGAGAAACACACTTAAAAAGTTTTAAGAAATAATAAAATTGTTTAGACCACGAACTAAAGTGAAAACAAAAAGTAAAACGTGAAAAAAAAATATGGGCAATCACGTTTTGACACTCCCATCTGTGGCGATTTTTAATTCTTATTTGGCTTAGCCAAATGACTGGAAAAGGTTTAGGTGTGTACCTCACGTCATAGAGAACTCACACAAAAACATTCAGAAAAAAAAAATATTGTTAGGCCCCGAAATCATTTTTGGTGGGGGCCGAACGCCGTCGGGTTCAGACCCCGTACGGGACCCCGAACACCCGTACGTACGGAGGTTTGCCTAGGGACCTCCGTACATACGGGCTGGTAACCCTGGTCCTGATGTTATTTAAGTCGTTCTTTGTTTATATTTTGATACTTGATATTCATCGATATTGTATATAAAATTGAGTTATTATGTTGAGAATTATTGTTTTCACATGTCATATTTTAACCGTGTGTCTGATCACAAACTTTGATGTATTCTTTCAGTTACAATTCTTATGTAAATTGTTATCGATTGGAACTTTTTTTGAAAATGTTGTCAACGAAATATATATTTTTTCTTCTTAATATTGTTTTGCAGATTCATTTAGTCATATGTATGACTATTATATTGGAGTGATGTTCATTTTAATATATTCACCCGGACTTCCATTTTTATGTTTTTTATTATTCGTTTGTATATATATGTGATGCATTTCTATGATTGAAGGCATCTGAACTTTTGTTGAGGATTATTCTGCTTGGATTATTATGAAATTTGTTGTAAACGGGTTTGTTGTAAAATATATCGATGGTTGTGGAATGTTTTTTGTTGAAGATGTTATCATGTCATAATGCTTTTGCGATAAAACTGTGAGCTTTGTAGGTGGTGATGAGGCCTGCACCGGAGTTATACTCTGAGTCCATAGTGGGATGTTGTCATCCCGATGCTATGAGGTTTAAGGATGGAGGACTACACTATCACTAAAAGGGAGGAAGGTGTCGAGGTCTTATTAAAACGCTGCATATAGCGGTAGGCGACTATTGTTTGTCGTGAAGGGAGGAGTGATCACCCAACCTCATTTCGAACAGAGTCACCTTATCTCTATGGTCGATGTCTGATCAACCTTGGTTGTATGAGGTGGGGCTGTCTTACTCTATGTGCAGGGGTTTGATAGGGTCGCAACGCTGGAATCGGAGGGAATGTGGCGAGGCTCGAATCAAATGCAGGGCTTGATGTCGAGATGTTATCCCTTGAACAGGATCACACCACTCCTCGGCGCATATCACAGAAAGATCAATAACATTTGACATGATATAAAGTATAGTAAATTTCATTGTAATATATTCATGTCACAACTTAAATCAATAAAGGAGCACGTTAGTGACAAAGCAACCAGTCTTAATTGACGTTCTTCTTCATTCTGGTCATTAGATGAAATTTAAGGAGTAGGTTTGCGACGTGGCAACCCGTTTTAATCAACCTTCTCTTCAAGATGGATGGAGAGAAGTCGGTCTTATGGCAGGGAAATCTGTCTTGATCAAAGTTTTCCTTTGATCTTTAAAGAATTTATCTGCGACTGAGCAATCTTTCTTGATCAGATTTCATTTCAAAGATTAATTGAGAGGAGTTTGTCTGCGGTAGGGAAACTTGTCTTGATCAGCGTTTTGTTCTCAACTTTAGGTAGAGAGGAGTCCATCTGCGGCAGGGGAATCTGTCTTGATTAGAGTTATCCTCCGATCTTTGAATAATATATCTGCGGCAGAGCAGTCTGTCTTGATCAGATTCGTTTTCAAAGATTAATTAAGAGCAGTTCGTCTGCGGCAAGGAAATCTGTCTTGATCAACGTTCTGATCTTATCTTTAGGAAGAGAGGAACTTGTCGGCGACAGAGAAACCTGTCTTGATTGACATTTTTTTATTATAATGATAAGAGTTTGTCTGTGGCAGGGAGACTTGTCTTGAGCTATGTTGCACGCAGGCTGCGGCCGGTTTCGGCCTAGGCCGAGGCCGGCGGCCTAGGTCGGGACCCCCTGGCTGCGGCCGAGCTGACCGAGTTTTTTCGGCCTCGGTCTCGGTCGGTCTGGGGGGCGATTTTCGAAGCGGGGAGCGGGTTTGGGGTGGTGGGGTGGGGGGGCACACCCTCAAAGTGACAGGCCGTCAAAAAACTAAAAAACGGGGGGTTCCTACACATGGCCCTGAAAGGGTGGGCCCCGAAAATTCCTGTGTCCCCCGTGCGCGGGTTCGTCAATGCGGATTCGCAGGGAGGAGGGTCCGGAACAGTAGAAAAATATAAAAAAAAATATTTGACCCCTGCAGGGGCGGCCCAACGTGGGTTGGATGAGGGCCTCGTTGGGGCGGCCCGTGCGGCCAGGTCGGGTCGAAGCTAGATGGGGCTGCAGATGGCAGACCCCAAGCGGATCAGGGCCTTACGCACTGAAAGGTAGGCGTCGGTTTCATTCGTGAGGGCGATGACATTTCGTGACATATTTTAAAACAACACATTCAGGGCAATCATAAGTCAGACCCTGCTTGGCATACCAATGTGGCAATGTCAAAACACATTGAAAATCAATGACAGTGCGGCGAACCATAAGTTTCAAACAATGATAACAGGCAAGTGTGTCATAGTGTGTGTTCACTCATGAGACTGATAGACATTCATCAGCACATCATTTATGTAAGAACACATTCATTACTATCATTAGCACATCATCCCTATGTCGCATCTGAAATTAACAGCACATTCATAATGGAGGCATCCATGACATGCAGGTGCGTGGCATCAGAGAAGCACATAATTTGCAACAATCACGACAACAGAGCAGAAAACAATCACCAAACAACAGCGACTCAGATGCAAGACCAATGATGACGGAGGAACAAGAACAAGAGCAAATATATGACAAAGCATTTCAAGGGAAATGCGTATGACATTGTACAAGGTTGAAGCCAAAAACTGGACCCGTAGTCTGTACTGTACAACCGAGTAGCAAAAAAAAACTGGACCCATCGTCTCTGCTACACAACAGAGTAGCAAAAAAATACAGGATCCGTCGTCTCTATTGTACAACCGAGTAGCAAAAAAAAAATTGGACCCATCGTCTCTGCTACACAACAGAGTAGCAAAAAAATACTGGACCCATCGTCTCTACTGTACAACCGAGTAGCAAAAAAAAAAACAAAAAAAACCCTAATGTCCACATATTGACGTCGTCTCCATGAAACAACATCGACATAAATATGCAACAACCCTGCCGACAGAGCGTCCAGGCTGTACAGCCATGCGAAAAACAAAAAAAAAGTAATGAAAAAAAAAAACACCACGGACGTCGTCATCTCCCGCTTGAGCGCGCGCGGCCTCTCCCTAGGGACGGGCGGCCATGTGGTCCTCCCCGGCGCCCTCCTCTCCCTCCGGCACCTGTGCCCTGTGCCCCGCTGACGTATGCCGCATGTGCTGCAGCGGTTGCCGCGGCCATCTGTGCCCTGTGTCTGCGGGCCGCAGTCTCGATCGGCTCGGACTCTGTGTTTGCGTCCTCGTCCTCCTCCGCCTGTGCAGCAATCCCCCTCTCTCCCTCCCTCTAAATAGCGTCCAATGCTGCCTGCCCAGCGGGGACCCCTGCAGCGAGTCGATCCTCAACCTCCGAGAGGCCACGTTGTCGTCTCGTCCCGGGACGCATCAACAATCCCTTCCGCTCGATATGAACTGCTCTCCCCGCAGCCTATCCGTGGATGTTCCTGTGGCCTCGAGGACCAATGATCTCCTCGTCTCCGCTCGTGACAAACCAAGCATGCGGCCCGCCATCTACAGGCTCGGAAGTCGGGGCCCACCTTCAGCAGCCTGGGTCTGAACAGGCGTACGTCCCGTGAAGACGCCCCTCCCAACGTCGTAATCCGCCCGCAACCGGTCCCCGACCAGACGAACATCTGACCATCCGCCACCCACACCACCTCGGACTGGCGGCGGGGAACCGCCACTGTGCACAACTCCGAGTGCCACCGTCCAGTCCCTGGTGTCAACCCTGGCCTCCGGAGTGCGTGCGGGCGGTGGAGGCATCGATCCTGCACTATCTCTGTCGCCGTCGCTGCGTCTGCCGGACCCCACCTCACCCCACCTCACCCCACCTCACCCGCACCGGACTCCCTCCCTCTAACGCCGCTGAGCGACGAACCCGACCAGTGAGGGGTCTGCACTGTGAACGGCGGCGGTGAATATACCCTCCCTGGGGCCCGCTGCTTGCCCCTCTTGCGGCTCACGTGTGCGAAAGGGTCATCCGTCAATGCTTGCGCCAAAGCATCCGCGTCGAAGAAAGGGTGCGTTGTGTCGTCAGGGCGCAAGGGAGGCACTGTGGGGTCCCTCAACACCAAGGCGAGCCTATACTCGTCGTCCTCGGGACCGTGGTCGTCGTCATCGTCGCCGTCTGGTCCATTGTCTCCACCGACACCCACGGTATCCTGTCCACCGACGACGGCACCCTGTCCCTCATCACCCGCGGTCTCGCTGTCGCCACGCCCCCCACTAGGGGACCCACCGCCCATGACAACATCCTGCCCCTCATCACCCGCGGTCTCCTCGTCGCCGCGTCGTCCACCACCTGACTCACTACCCGCGGCGACATCCTGTCCCTCATCATCGAACTCCCCCTGAACTGCCTCCTCAGGGACACCCGAGGCATCGACGTCACGGCCTCCCCCCCCTCCTATCTCCATCTCCCTCTGCCGACACTGCTCGTCAAGATACGCGAACCGACCCTCCCATCGTGGCAAACTCCCTAGCCGCTCCTCCTCCTCTTAGTCCAAACGGGCATCCCTCTTCTCCTCAGTCTCAACAAGGCCCCGCATAACGTCCGTGTCGGTGCGCACATCCAACGGTGAGGCACGTAGACGTCCCTCAACACTGAAATCTCCCAAGCTCCCACCAAGCCCTACGACGTCAAAGTCGTCTGTGCGGAGTACCGATGACGAGCAGGGGCGGATACTGGTGTCAGAAGGAGTCCTCTCCCCCCCACGATCCTCGCCGTCATGTGTCGGGTCTCTGCCTGCTGCCGACGCCAACCTCTCCGAATGCCTAAGTGCCTCGGGCTGTGCAGAGATCGGATGATGGGAGGGAGAGAAGCGACGATCGCGAACGGGCACCTCCTCATCCTCGGCCTCCCCCTCGGCCTCGCTGTCGCTCCTAACCTCCCATCGCCTGCCTGTATGTCGAAGACCTCCCTGTGGCTGCAGCTCCCCCGAGTCGTCGACGCCAACCTCCACATGCGAACGTCCTCCACGACCACCACCGACTCTGCTGCTCCCACTCGCCTGTGCGGTCGACGACGCACCACCAATGATAACTGATGTGAATGAATCCATGCCATCACGACCCCCACCATAAGTGAAGTACACTCGCTCAGCCGTCGGGTCGCGACTCAGCAGCGTGTCATCATCGTCTGTCCAGTCGTCGGCGACGTCGTCGTCTGCCGCAGCAGCGTCCACATCATCCCTACCCTCCGGCCACGGTCGCAGCTCCGTCGCTCTGCTGCCGAACACGTCCCGAACCGAACGGGCTCTGGACGGTCGACTGTCATGGAAAGCGACAATCTGCTCATTCGGAAACTTGGTGAAAGACGCGGACTGTGGCTCAGGAAAAAGACCACAACCTGTGGAGATGTGATCCGCATATTTTTCTACGGCGATGATTTTCTTCTGATTGAAATATTATCCGACTTTCTTAAGTGAGTCGGACCAAGTTTCACTCAAGGTTAGTTGAATTACTCAGATTTTCCTTCACACCTGTATGAACCCACACTTTGCTTGACCTTGTTCATTTTGAATGTTCGAAAGAAAAGGTATGGGAAAGTTGTGTGAGTCATTTATGTGAATGAAAAAGTTTGACTTGAGTTTGGGATGATCTTGTTTTCTTTTGAACTTGTTTTCTTGGCTTGGTGTGCAGGTAGGTAGAAGGATGCTTGCAAAGGAGTTTGATTTTTGCCTATTTGGGAAAGATTAAAAAATATATATCTTCTTTCTACCTTTAACCTACCTGCCTATCAAAGTGAACTTGTTTTTTTTGAAAAAGACTAATTCAGTGTGCTTTGTAGAATGAATTCGATTCAAATAAAGCAGATAACGTCAAACAGACTTAGTCTTCTCCCAAGGAATGACCCTTTCTATCCCGAATGATACTTATTCTAGATCTCCTTCTAATGTTTTTCGTCCAAATTACCTTGAACTTAGGAAAAAAGAGAACAAATAAAATCTACTGTCTTGGGATGGATATGTTATCCCTCTAAGAAGAATCTGGGGTGGGGGCTCGTTGCTTTAGGAGCCGACCCTGTTATCGACCCAGAGTGAACCGTTCTACGGGGAGGTACTCTGCCGATTCGATGGAGACAGACCGACTTCTAAGATCCGAGTCTCGTGGTCGGACAAGGAAGAGGAGTACCCCAAACCACTTCGTAGAGGGAGAGGCATGCAATACTTCAAGCAATGCCTCTGATCAAGAATTATTCGCAAAGCAGCCTGTCATCCAAAAACATTAGAAAGTATGGAGACAGATGTGAGTGCGTCTCCTCTTAAGTCAACAGCAGGTTGAATGAATGATTTTGGCAACGCGTCTCATCAAGTCAAAACTAAGGCAGACCGACGACCTTGTCGGTTGCATCGTGGTTATTGTCGAAGCCACCTCCTCGTTGGCAGATGTATGATTGTTTTATGGTGCTCGACCTGAGATGGTCGATTAATTTTTTTTTTAATATGAGATGACGATTTGAATTCTTTCAGTTATATTTTTGGATATATGTTCCTATCGTCTACGATCAATTCCAATTGATGTAATTATATGTGTGGTTGTTATAATTTTCTTTTGACGGTATATCTAAAGGACTAGGATTGAGTTGTGGGTTTCACGCTTGGTTGAGACCATCCTAGTCGACCGATGTCCACTTCGTACTTAGGACATCAGCGCCCTAAGGAACGAACAACGCTCGGGTCCGCTTGGAGTTAACCAAGTGTATCTATACTACAGCGAACGAGCAAACGCCCTTGGTTGACCTACCTCTGCAATTGCATCTAAAAGCCTTCGCACGTGGGTTAGTAGCTCGGTAGAGGTACACCCCTAAGGGACCCCTAAGGGTGTGGACAGCCCCTTAGGGAAGAAAAACTCATGCCCCACGGGAACCTATCCTGTCGTAGGGGACCGCGGGATGTATAGCTGGCGCACCTAGCCAGAGCGACGACAGAATGACGCTACCGCAACCGTCTCGGCAGTTCGCGGGGTTGTTAAGTGTCATTCCCAAGTTACCTCTATTTTGCTTTTGTTTTACTCCTACGTGATATGGCCGGAAGGACTCTCGTGCTTGCAAAAAGGCGGGAGCTGATGCGCTCAACAACACGACACGACCATGAGGGACTCTGGTGAGCCGCAACAACAAGAAAGAACAATCTCACCCGCATAAATTTTAAAGGAAATACAAGCAACCAAAGAACGGGTAGATTCACAGGAAACTTCGGTCTCCTCTTCGACCTCTTGGGTTGACAAATGAAATGCATGTACAGCGGCGAACCCTTAACAATCCAGTGGGGGGAAGGGGAATCCGGAGATCAGACCTGGCGGATACCCCTCGACAACGTTATAACTGTCAGAGCTTTCTTCCTCACCAAACTCCTCACCAAATCAGAGGATCGTCTGGTTCATCAAGGGGGTAAAATGATTCAAGTCAAAACACTTGTCGGCAGATAAAATCCGCGAACGAGATGAACTTTACTCACGGCACGGGAGTAACTTGATCTTTTATGACGATGTTGCATACAAGTCCTCCAACGACAAGATTGGCTGGATCCAAAAAAGACTCGCGGGCCTCAAAGGGAGCGAGGAAGGAGCTCAATATTTTTATCTACTACAACCGATCTCGTAGTCAGTATTCACCGTGATTAGCATGTTTGACGTAGACAAAAGAATAATGGACATGTGGCGTAGTGTGTGCTGCGGCTGGTCCGAAGTCAGAATCTACCCGTGGTCGCCTAAGAGGCAACAAAGCAGGGAGGAGAGGCGACATCAACTCATGGCTGATTACTATTGGGCCGGATACAGGTACGTTCCGATTGAGATCCAGATCATATTTATCCAAGACTTGGCACAAAAATACAACATCGTTGATTTTATAGAACCCTTGCTGGCATATGTTGCGCTACGTGATGATTATTTGATGTTAGCAATAAACCTGCCGGATGACTGCATTTTCCAGATTGATGACGTAATACGGTAATACCTTTGCGAATTGCGGGAAAGGATTTCAAAATCCACACAGCCCACAAACGCCGACCGTGGTGCTTGAAGTGCCAACAATACGGCCATGCAATGGCAGATACTGATTGCCCTCACCATCCCGACAGACGCATGAAGGCTACCGGCCGCCTGCCACGTGATCCCTTCCAAACCACACACTGGCGAATTGTTGACCTGGTCCACGAGGGTTGGGTATATGTCGATGAAGTCAAAACAAAAGGTGGAATAAGGGGGTGGGAAAGGGAGAGAAAGGAAGACTCTGAGGTTGACTTGAGAAGCAAATCCCTGGACCATTGGATTCCCCCACACTCAGTGGAAGAACATCTGGAGACCCAACAGGATCAACAGGTTCCCCCCGACACCGGGAATATAAGGGAGCAAAGACCAGAGGCCTTCCTCAGAGAAACGGAGGTAAGAGAGACGTGGCAGGTAATTCCCCCAAAAAACAAAGCACCAAAAACATTGAACCCGACCTTGGAATATCGAAAGAAATCTTCAGGAAAAGTAAACCAGGAAAACTTTGTTCGGGGCACCAATCATTTTGTTGCATTGGAGGAAGGAGGACGGGGGCAACATACACAGCAAAAGGATGTGGTAGACTGGGGAAGGGTGATGCTGATGGAGAGACAGTCTGCACAACAAGGAGGTGCAGTGGAGGGAGGAGGGGTGCTGCAGACAGATATGCCTGTATCGCAACAACGGAAAGGTAAGCAACGGGATCATATAATGCTGGTTTCGGAAGGACTGGGGCCGTCTTCACAAAAGGAAGAAGTAGTGGATGGAGGAAGGGCATTAAAGGGTGTTGGGTCCCAACAGCAGCGAGGGGAGCAACCCAGGCCCATACAGGGATAAGAGAGGAAGATGATGGTAGGGCAAGAGGAGAGGGACCCTCAATACACCCGCAAGGAGGGGGGGGAGAGGCGAAACAACAAGTGCCAAAGAGCGGAGTGTTGGAAACAAAACATCCAGCTCAGGGCCTTGAGGAACATCTTCCCAGACAACACACCTTTAGGCCCCCGCGAGTAGAGGATCCCTTCCAACAGGCCTCTGGTCCAGAACCAATGGACGTGGAAGGGTCAGAACCCGTTGCAAATGAGACGGCCACACCAATGCCGGAAGTGATCATGACCGATGCCACACCAGAGACACAAGGGGAGGTAAAGGATAGGATGAAGGTCGTTACGGAATGGCTCTATGAACAATTAAAGGGCCATTATACACATCTTACTCACCTGTCCACCGAATTCTGGGATCAAACATATGCTGATCTATTTGAATTATTAGACAGTAGCCCGAGTCTCCAACAGGTTCTGGAGCACGGGTTACCCCAGCCAGCCAGTTGGCAGGAAACCTGACACTGAGTCTGGTGTATCGTTCATAGTCAACTCCATTCCCCCCCTCCTCCGGAAAGGGAGCAACCCTCGCAGATTAACACTATCCCCCCMCCCCCCGCCTCGTCCCCCCAACCTCGAGATCCCCTGATTGTACCACTAGTCGAGCCCCCCCTTCCGCCTCCCCCTGACCCTCCCCCAAACAACCTGGACGGGATGGGCCTGGACTTACCCCGTCGCCCGCGACTACGACACCTGATCGAAAAAAGACTTCACCAAGGGCCTCTCCCCTTGGGGGATAAGATCTTGGTGATCCCTATAAGAAAAAAACTTGGCCGGTGGGAAATTGGCCTCTCCCTAACTGAAGAGAATGATTATTTTCTCTGTAGGAGGGGGTCACGTTACACGGCTGGAGGTTGCAACAGGATGTAGAGGGTCAGCGCAGTTTTAGGTTCAGGGATGCGAAGGAATTCATCACAGCACACTATGAGGCGGGGGCTAAAGCCATGATAAGGGTTGCATCGGGCTCCTGTAGAATTACAAACAATGATCTATATGTCCTCTTTGAGGAAAAAAAGGAGGCAGGACTGACTTGGTTATCACACAATGCATTATTAGAACTGCAACGTCTCAAGATCAAACCGAGTCACATCTGGCCGGACACGGAGCTCGTTACTGCCTTGTGTTCCGTGATCCGAACAGGTGTTATTAATGAAGGGGTGGCATGGGATCAATATACGTGGCACTACCTATAGGACCAGAAAGGGGAAAAAAACGTTGACACCAGCATAATGGAATGGGTTGAAGCGCTATACGGCCAAAACAAGGTCTGGCGCACCACCCTCCGTAATGCGGACCTGGATCTCAGATCCATTAATGTCAATGGGCTGGCCACACTCTGTCCAGACAAGTCCCAAGCCATACGATTCCTTCTTAAGGGGGGTGGAAGGACGAAGTTGGCCAGATGTAGTTTGCGTCCAAGAAACACACCTGACAGATTCCCCCGACCACAACAGGGCACACAAGGCGGTCTGGCCACACTAGGCCTTTAGGGCACATGCACCATGCAGGGACAACAATATGGATCCCTTCAAACTCCCGACTAGAGGTGTTACACAGGGAAGTGGACACGGAGGAGGGTCGTTGCGTCTCAATGTTGGGGGCGTTGGAACTAAAAGTTGTGTGCATCTTCTGCATCTATGCCCCGAATACCATGACGGAACGCAAGGATTTCTTCTGAAGAATCCAAGTCAAAATACCGCAAGGCATCCCCGTGATTCTCACTGGGGATTTTAACACAACACCCAATCGTTGGTTAGATCGTTGGCAGGTTCTCCCGTCCACTATACGACAGGTGGAGAAAGGTGAGGGTATGATCTACCGACTGTGCAACTTTTTTTCCCTCTTTGACACTTATCATCGCTTCTTTCCCACAAAGCGGAGTTTCACATGCATTCGTAATAATGACCCGACCAGACTCTCTAAGTCAGGATCGACCTTATTCTCATCTCGGAGGACTTGGCGGGCAGCTTAACACTAGCGACCATTCTCCCGCCCGGCCCCTACCCTTGGCTGGTTCATAAGATGTGCATGATGGCGTTAACTTTTCACAAGCGGTCGGACTAAGGCCCGGGCTTCTACAAACTAAACACCTCTTTGCTCCATCTCAAATCGTTTCAGCAATACTTGACTCACGTTTGGGCATACTGGAAAGAACGTTACTTTGAAGTAGACTTATTTCTTACATGGTTCAATAATGGTCTGTTTTTTTTTGTCAAAAAATGCAATGAGTTCTCTAAACAACTAGCCAAATAAAGAAACCGACACAAAATAGATTTGCTTAATCAACTCCAAGAACTGGAACAACATCCAACACCACAAGACTTGGATTGGAAAGAACAGACCATACAGATAATAAAAGTCCAACTACTTTAACAAGTTCAATACCGATGTTGCTCGGATCCACGGTAAACTCTCCCATGACACTATTGAAGGTTCAATTGACACAAAATTATTCGGCCTTGCTCGGGCTAGAGCCAAACGCACGGTCGTCGAAGCACTGTATGGATCAAAGGAGGCCCGACACTCACCCAATTGTCACAACTGTAGAATGTGTCAAAATTGTACTAGACTTCTTTAAGGATCTTCTTGCAACCTGTATTCCCGTTACTTATGTGACACCCGCGGCCTAGGCCGCGGGCAATTCGGCCGCCGCGGGCGAAAAAGTCGGTCGCGGACAGGGCAATGAGGCCCTATCCGCTGCCTGTTTTTTTAATATTTTTTAATACCCCTAAAAATACGTAAAAAAAATATATATATGTATGATAGGGTTTTAGGGCTTGCAAAACCCTACAATCCTACGTTTTTTATTTTGGAATCCGACCTCGTTTAA